GGGAGCAGATATAGTGAATGCGGGGTCCGGGAGAGAGCGGATATAGTGAATGCGGGGGTCCGGGGAGAGGGATATAGTGAATGCGGGGTCCGGGGGAGAGCGGATATAGTGAATGCGGGGTCGGGGGAGAGCGGATATAGTGAATGCGGGGTCCGGGGAGAGCGGATATAGTGAATGCGGGGGTCCGGGGAGAGCGGATATAGTGAATGCGGGGTCCGGGGAGAGCGGATATAGTGAATGCGGGGTCCGGGGAGAGCGGATATAGTGAATGCGGGGTCGGGGGAGAGCGGATATAGTGAATGCGGGGTCCGGGGGAGAGAGCGGATATAGTGAATGCGGGGTCTGGGGAGAGCGGATATAGTGAATGCGGGGTCCGGGGAGAGCGGATATAGTGAATGCGGGGTCCAGGGAGAGCGGATATATAGTGAATGCGGGGTCCGGGGAGAGCGGGGATATAGTGAATGCGGGGTCCGGGGAGAGCGGATATAGTGAATGCGGGGTCCGGGGAGAGAGCGGATATAGTGAATGCGGGGTCGGGGGGAGAGGGATATAGTGAATGCGGGGTCCGGGGAGAGCGGATATAGTGAATGCGGGGTCCGGGGAGAGCGGATATAGTGAATGCGGGGTCGGGGGGAGAGCGGCGGATATAGTGAATGCGGGGTCCGGGGAGAGCGGATATAGTGAATGCGGGGTCCGGGGAGAGCGGATATAGTGAATGCGGGGTCCGGGGGAGAGCGGATATAGTGAATGCGGGGTCCGGGGAGAGCGGATATAGTGAATGCGGGGTCCGGGGAGAGGATATAGTGAATGCGGGGTCCGGGGAGAGCGGATATAGTGAATGCGGGGTCCGGGGAGAGCGGATATAGTGAATGCGGGGTCCGGGGAGAGCGGATATAGTGAATGCGGGGTCCGGGGAGAGCGGATATAGTGAATGCGGGGGTCCGGGGAGAGCGGATATAGTGAATGCGGGGTCCGGGGGAGAGCGGATATAGTGAATGCGGGGTCCGGGGGAGAGCGGATATATAGTGAATGCGGGGTCCGGGGAGAGCGGATATAGTGAATGCGGGGTCCGGGGAGAGCGGATATAGTGAATGCGGGGTCCGGGGAGAGCGGATATAGTGAATGCGGGGTCCGGGGAGAGCGGATATAGTGAATGCGGGGTCCGGGGAGAGCGGATATAGTGAATGCGGGGTCCGGGTAGAGAGCGGGGATATAGTGAATGCGGGGTCCGGGGAGAGCGGATATAGTGAATGCGGGGTCCGGGGGAGACCGGATATAGTGAATGCAGGGTCCGGGAGAGAGCGGATATAGTGAATGCGGGGTCCGGGGAGAGCGGATATAGTGAATGCGGGGTCCGGGGGGAGAGCGGATATAGTGAATGCGGGGTCGGGGAGAGCGGATATAGTGAATGCAGGGGGTCCGGGGGACGCGGATATAGTGAATGCGGGGTCCGGGGAGAGCGGATATAGTGAATGCGGGGTCCGGGGGAGAGCGGATATAGTGAATGCGGGGTCCGGGGGAGAGCGGATATAGTGAATGCACTGTCCGGGGAGAGACCGGATATAGTGAATGCAGGGTCCGGGGAGAGCGGATATAGTGAATGCGGGGTCCGGGGAGAGCGGATATAGTGAATGCGGGGGTCCGGGGAGAGAGCGGATATAGTGAATGCGGGGTCCGGGGAGAGCGGATATATTGAATGCAGGGTCCGGGGAGAGCGGATATAGTGAATGCAGGGTCCGGGGAGAGCGGATATAGTGAATGCGGGGTCCGGGGGGAGAGCGGATATAGTGAATGCGGGGGTTCGGGGAGAGCGGATATAGTGAATGCGGGGTCCGGGGAGAGCGGATATAGTGAATGCGGGGTCCGGGGAGAGCGGATATAGTGAATGCGGGGTCCGGGGAGAGCGGATATAGTGAATGCGGGGTCCGGATATAGTGAATGCGGGGTCCGGGGAGAGCGGATATAGTGAATGCGGGGTCCGGGGGGGAGAGCGGATATAGTGAATGCGGGGTCCGGGGAGAGCGGATATAGTGAATGCGGGGTCCGGGGAGAGCGGATATAGTGAATGCGGGGTCCGGGGAGAGCGGATATAGTGAATGCGGGGTCCGGGGGAGAGCGGATACAGTGAATTTAAAGTAGAACTATAGGCAAAACTTTTTTTTTTTTTGGATAGAGTGTCAGGTCACCAGAACTAATGTCCCCATTGGAAGATTTCCCTGTGCTAATTTTTTTTTTATTTTAATTGTTGACCTGGATGGACTGTTGTCTTTTTTCAGCCAGACTAATTTAACTATCTAACCCAAAATGAGAATGTTTTAAAAAGAATTGCCCGCAGATTAAAAAGCTGACCAACTCCTGGGATGATTAAAGTTCAACTGCCAATTCCAAATCAAATGCCAGTTTGCAAGTTCTGAAAGCTGAGGTCAACTTCCACAAGAACAAGACGTATTATAGAAAATATATCCATCTGTTCAATATAAGGAAAGCATCTGGTTATCTGCGCACGGCTCTCCACCATTATATTTCCTACTATTTATACTCTGACCGGGCGCTCAGCACATTCTACGCTTTTCTAAGAACGCTTCTTCAGAGCGCCCCGTGCTTTGTATTCCTAGAACAACCTCAAAGTTCACATGATGAGAAACCAATTGTATGAGCATCACAATATCAATTAGAGAAAATTGCTCGGGTGATCATTATATACTAATTTTTAGAGCAGCTTTTCTCAACTAGGTTTCCTTGAAAGGTTTCTAAGGGTTCATTGGGATATGAGCAATTTCTGCTTCCTAGATAAGTATCCACTCACACCAACTAGATTTTCAGGTATCTGTAAGGAGAAAATATTCTTCCCACTGACCCCAATGTAAGGGACATTCTTCCCACTGACCCCCAATGTAAGGGACATTCTTCCCACTGACCACCAATGTAAGGGACATTCATCCCACTGACCCCCAATGTAAGGAGCATTCTTCCCACTGACCCCCAATGTAAGGGACATTCTTCCCACTGACCCCCAATGTAAGGGACATTCTTCCCACTGACCCCCAATGTAAGGGGCAATTCTTCCCACTGACCCCCAATGTAAGGGGCATTCTTCCCACTGACCCCCAATGTAAGGGACATTCTTCCCACTGACCCCCCAATGTAAGGGACATTCTTCCCACTGACCCCCAATGTAAGGGACATTCTTCCCACTGACCCCCAATGTAAGGGGCATTCTTCCCACTGACCCCCAATGTAAGGGACACTCATCCCACTGACCCCCAATGTAAGGGACATTCATCCCACTGACCCCCAATGTAAGGGACATTCTTCCCACTGACCCCCAATGTAAGGGACATTCTTCCCACTGACCACCCCAATGTAAGGGACATTCTTCCCACTGACCCCCAATGTAAGGGACATTCTTCCCACTGACCCCCAATGTAAGGGACATTCTTCCCACTGACCACCAATGTAAGGGACATTCTTCCCACTGACCCCCAATGTAAGGGACATTCTTCCCACTGACCACCAATGTAAGGGACATTCTTCCCACTGACCCCCAATGTAAGGGACATTCTTCCCACTGACCCCCCAATGTAAGGGACATTCTTCCCACTGACCCCCAATGTAAGGGACATTCTTCCCACTGACCCCCAATGTAAGGGACATTCTTCCCACTGACCCCCAATGTAAGGGACATTCTTCCCACTGACCCCAATGTAAGGGACATTTCTTCCCACTGACCCCCAATGTAAGGGACATTCTTCCCACTGACCCCCCAATGTAAGGGACATTCTTCCCACTGACCCCCAATGTAGGGACATTCTTCCCACTGACCCCCAATGTAAGGGACATTCTTCCCACTGACCCCCAATGTAAGGGACATTCTTCCCACTGACCCCCAATGTAAGGGACATTCTTCCCACTGACCACCAATGTAAGGGACATTCTTCCCACTGACCCCAATGTAAGGGACATTCTTCCCACTGACCACCAATGTAAGGGACATTCTTCCCACTGACCCCCAATGTAAAGGAGCATTCTTCCCACTGACCCCCAATGTAAGGGACATTCTTCCCACTGACCCCCAATGTAAGGGACATTCTTCCCACTGACCCCCAATGTAAGGGGCATTCTTCCCACTGACCCCCAATGTAAGGGGCATTCTTCCCACTGACCCCCAATGTAAGGGACACTCTTCCCACTGACCCCCAATGTAAGGGACATTCTTCCCACTGACCCCCAATGTAAGGGACATTCTTCCCACTGACCCCCAATGTAAGGACATTCTTCCCACTGACCCCCAATGTAAGGGACATTCTTCCCACTGACCCCCAATGTAAGGGATATTCTTCCCACTGACCCCCCAATGTAAGGGACATTCTTCCCACTGACCCCCAATGTAAGGGACATTCTTCTCACTGATCACCAATGTAAGGGACATTTTTTCCCACTGACCCCCAATGTAAAGGGACATTCTTCCCACTGACCCCCCAATGTAAGGGACATTCTTCTCACTGATCACCAATGTAGGGACATTCTTCCCACTGACCCCCAATGTAAGGGACATTCTTCCCACTGACCCCAATGTAAGGGACATTCTTCCCACTGACCACCAATGTAAGGGACATTCTTCCCACTGACCCCCCAATGTAAGGGACATTCTTCCCACTGACCCCCAATGTAAGGGACATTCTTCCCCACTGACCCCCAATGTAAGGGACATTCTTCCCACTGACCTCCAATGTAAGGGACATTCTTCCCACTGACTACCAATGTAAGGGACATTCTTCCCACTGACCCCCAATGTAAGGGACATTCTTCCCACTGACCCCCAATGTAAGGGACATTCTTCCCACTGACCCCCCAATGTAAGGGACATTCTTCCCACTGACCCAATGTAAGGGACATTCTTCCACTGATCACCAATGTATGGGACATTCTTCCCACTGACCCCCAATGTAAGGACATTCTTCCCACTGACCCCCCCAATGTAAGGGACATTCTTCCACTGATCACCAATGTAAGGGACATTCTTCCCACTGATCACCAATGTAAGGGACATTCTTCCCACTGACCCCCAATGTAAGGGACATTCTTCCCACTGACCCCCAATGTAAGGGACATTTCTTCCCACTGACCACCAATGTAAGGGACATTCTTCCCACTGACCCCAATGTAAGGGACATTCTTCCCACTGACCCCCAATGTAAGGGACATTCTTCCCACTGACCCCCAATGTAAGGGGACATTCTTCCCACTGACCCCAATGTAAGGGACATTCTTCCCACTGACCACCAATGTAAGGGACATTCTTCCCACTGACCCCCAATATAAGGGACATTCTTCCCACTGATGACCCCAATGTAAGGGACATTCTTCCCACTGACCCCCAATGTAAGGGACATTCTTCCCACTGACCCCAATGTAAGGGACATTCTTCCCACTGACACCAATGTAAGGGACATTCTTCCCACTGATTACCAATGTAAGGGACATTCTTCCCACTGACCCCCAATGTAAGGGACATTCTTCCCACTGACCCCCAATGTAAGGGACATTCTTCCCACTGATTACCAATGTAAGGGACATTCTTCCCACTGACCACCAATGTAAGGGACATTCTTCCCACTGATCACCAATGTAAGGGACATTCTTCCCACTGACCCCCAATGTAAGGGACATTCTTCCCACTGATTACCAATGTAAGGGACATTCTTCCCACTGACCCCCAATGTAAGGGACATTCTTCCCACTGACCCCCAATGTAAGGGACATTCTTTTCCCACTGATCACCAATGTAAGGGACATTCTTCCCACTGACCCCCAATGTAAGGGACATTCTTCCCACTGACCCCAATGTAAGGGACATTCTTCCCACTGACCCCCAATGTAAGAAACATTCTTCCCACTGACCCCCAATGTAAGGGACATTCTTCCCACTGATCACCAATGTAAGGGACATTCTTCCCACTGACCCCCAATGTAAGGGACATTCTTCCCACTGACCCCCCAATGTAAGGGACATTCTTCCCACTGATCCCCAATGTAAGGGACATTCTTCCCACTGATCACCAATGTAAGGGACATTCTTCCCACTGATCACCAATGTAAGGGACATTCTTCCCACTGATCACCAATGTAAGGGACATTTTTCCCACTGACCACCAATGTAAGGGACATTCTTCCCACTGATCACCAATGTAAGGGACATTCTTCCCATTGACCCCCAATGTAAGGGACATTCTTCCCATTGACCCCCAATGTAAGGGACATTCTTCCCACTGACCCCCAATGTAAGGGACATTCTTCCCACTGACCCCCCAATGTAAGGGACATGCGCCCTTCCCACTGACCCCCAATGTAAGGGACATTCTTCCCACTGACCCCCAATGTAAGGGACATTCTTCCCACTGACCCCCAATATACAGGAAATTCTTCCCACTGACCCCCAATGTAAGGGACATTCTTCTTACTGGCCACCAATAAGCCATGGTATGTAACATGTGTATGACAAGCAACGTTTTGCCATCTAGGCACCCCCCAAAGGTGTGTTTATGCTCATGTCTGAGTGTGTGATAGGATGGGCTCCAAATTTTTACAAAATGTTTTGGGGGGGTTGGGTGCTTGAGTGTAACTCTATTTTTTTACAATGTTTTTACTTTTACTAAAACTTTATATCACATAGTTGACAGGTTCTCTTTAATAAGACATCGGGGGTCTTTTTGATCCTGATGCCTCACCTGCCCTCCATTGAAGCTAAAAGAGTAGATGGTAAGGGCCGACCAGCGAAAATGACCCCAGAAACTGTGAGCGACATTTTACACGGAGCAGGTTCGTCCACCACTCAAGGCAAGGATGCAGAACTGCGCCCCTTCCTAATGCATACCATAGAATGGGTGTACCCCCTTGTGCCCAAGCTTTGCCCCTTTGCTCCAACTGCCCTTGCATTGGCCAATCGCTTGCTTTCTTGTGGCTAAAAGGCAGTAGCACATGCATGGCGTGTTCTTGTGTCAGCTGTGGGCGGATGGGGTGGAGAGCGGGTACGTTGGAGCACGATGTGACACCAGTAGCTGTCAGAGCAGACATGAAACTGCAGCCCCTGATTGCTCGCCACCAATCTGTAGCTTGCAATTGGTGATGGAGGTACCCTCCCCTACAGCTGCGCTCTGGGTAGCCACCCCTCCTGCCCACCCCTTGTCCCGTTTCTGGGTTTACTCATTGCTTCTGGGTTCATTTTCTACCTCTAGACCAGCGAATGGATGTTCTCCAATCACCCTCCCCTCCACCCTGTGTCAGCCACCATGGGGGTCTTGGGCTCACAGGTGGGACAGAAGTGCTCAGCAGAGCATGGCTGGGGGTTGTAGTGGGGGTGGGGGCCCTCCTGCCCACCCCTTGTCCCGTTTCAGGGTTTACTCATTGCTTCTGGGTTCTTTCTACCTCTAGACCAGCGAATGGATGTTTCTCCAATCACCCTCCCCTCCACCCCATGTCAGCCGCCATGGGGGTCTTGGGCCCACAGGTGTGGAACAGAAGTGCTCAGCACAGCATGGCTGGGGGTTGTAGTGGGGGTGGGGGCCCTCCTGCCCACCCCTTGTCCCGTTTCAGGGTTTACTCATTGCTTCTGGGTTCTTTTTACCTCTAGACCAGCGAATGGATGTTCTCCAATCACCCTCCCCTCCACCCCGTGTCAGCCGCCATGGGGGTCTTGGGCCCACAGGTGGGACAGAAGTGCTCAGCAGAGCATGGCTGGGGGTTGTAGGGGGGGGGGGGGGGTGTCACAGATTCAGGTTGATTTCATTAGAAAGCCTTGTGAAGTATACCATAAGAGACACGGCGGCAGCAGCAAAAGGGTTAATGATGCATTAATGAGTACAGAGCTGCAGTTATTTGTGTCTTTTATGTCATCTTTCTGGAAATACACTAGAAGTGACCTTCACATCCCCCGCAGATGGCGCGGCGACTGCGGCTTCTCTGAGCTGCGGCTATATTTTGAGCGTCTCTGCTAGCAGAAGGCTTGGACCTCTCGGAGAAGCTGACTGATACCAAACAGTTGTCCGCTGATTTAGCCAATTAGAAAAAACAGCTGGCTGGCTTCAGCCAACCACAAATGTGACACATTGGAGTCAGTCAGTCAGATGGCTAACCATAATAGACCTGGCGCCGGTCCAGGAATTATGGGAGACGTAAGCCGAGAACCTCTGCCCCATACCGATGCCTGGAAAACAACTGTTTATCCCCGAGACTCTTCCAGACATCACTTGCCGGGAGATTATCCTTTGTAAATATTCTACTTTTGTCTTATAAGTCTGCAGACTGTAACAGAAAGCCAAAAAGGAGGCATCTGGAGGTACCTGCTGGCGATCTAATTGTTCAGTCTCCTAGACCATGGGTCTCCAAACTACGGCCCTCCAGGTGTTGATCAATGGAAAATCCCATGAGGCCATGGCAAGACTCTGGAAGCCACAGGCAAGACTCCTGGAGGCAGAGGCATGAAGGGACTTGTAGTACTTCAACAGCTGGAGGGCCATAGTTTGGAGACCCCTCTCCTAGACCTACGATTATGCAATTGGATCGAAATTGATAAGTTGTTGAAGATGGCCTTCACATGGGCCTCCATATGGGCCTCCACATGGGCGTTCACATGGGGGCGTTCATGGGCCTTTACATGGGCCTTCACGGTGGCCTTCACATGGACCTTCATAAGGGCCTTCACGTGGGCATCCACATGGGCCTCCACATGAGCCTTCACGTGGGCCTTCAAATGGGCCTTCATGTTGGCCTTCACATGGGCCTTCAAGTGGGCCTTCACATAGACCTTCACATGGGGCTTCACGTGGGCCCTCACATGGGCCTTCATGTGGGCCCTCACATGGGCCTTCATGTGGGCGAGCAAAGGAGGGTTTGACAATTAGAAGTGCAGAAGAAATAGTAATGGTTAGAAAAATTGAAATTAACCAAAAACTGGAGGAAAAAAAAAAACAAAATAGGGGAGAAGGGGTAATTCCAATTGATTAAGGCACACTATGGGCTAACATGGCCAGACATGGGGGGGGGATGCTGGGATAGGCTATTCCCTCCAGATTTTAGTTGTGCCCCTCCAAAGCCTAGTGCCCCCTCCCCTCCCCAACCCCGAACGCTCTGCCTGCCCGCTGAACCATACTGCAGACAGCTGCCCTCTCCTTGCAGCTTTGTAAATGTACTGTGCAGCTCTGGTCAACAGGGGGCCCCGCTGGGTGGGGAAGGCTGCCTGTACCACTCCCCTGTTCTGCTGTCTGTGCCCAGGCTGTGTGCAGTGCAGGGATGGGAGAAGGAGCTCTGCTGAGTGCCCCACCAGTAGTGACCCTGTCCTCTGCCCTGCCGGAAGTGACCCCTGTCCTCTGCCCTGCCATCAGTGACCCCTGTCCTCTGCCCCACCAGTAGTGACCTCTGTCCTCTGCCCTGCCGGAAGTGACCCCTGTCCTCTGCCCTGCCATCAGTGACCCCTGTCCTCTGCCCTGCCGGAAGTGACCCCTGTGCTCTGTCCTGGCAGCAGTGACCCCTGTCCTCTGCCTGCCAACAGTGACTCCTGTCCTCTGTCCTGCCACCAGTGATGCCTGTCCTCTGCCCTGCCAGCAGTGACCCCTGTCCTCTGCCCTGCCAGCAGTAACCCTTGTCCTCTTCCCTGCCATCAGTGACCCCTGTCCTCTGCCCTGCCAGCAGTGACCCCTGTCCTCTGCCCTGCCAGCAGTGATCCCTGTCCTCTGCCCTGCCATCAGTGACCCTGTCCTCTGCCCTACCATCAGTGACCCCTGTCCTCTGTCCTGCCATCAGTGACCCCTGTCCTCTGCCCTACCATCAGTGACCCTTGTCCTCTTCCCGGCCATCAGTGACCCCTGTCCTCTGCCCTGCCAGCAGTGACCCCTGTCCTCTGCCCTGCCAGCAGTGACCCCTGTCCTCTGCCCTGCCATCAGTGACCCCTGTCCCTCCTCCCCTACCATCAGTGACTCCTGTCCTCTGTCCTGCCAGCAGTGACCCTAGTCCTTTGCCTTGCCAGCAGTGACCCCTGTCCTCTGCCCTGCCAGCAGTGACCCGTCCTCTGCCCTACCAGCAGTGACCCCTGTCCTCTGTCCTGCCATCAGTGACCCCTGTCCTCTGCCCTGAAAGCCATGACCCCTGTCCATATGTGGAGATTTAACTTCTCTTCTTCCAGGTGCAAAAGTACCCCCTTGACATTTACATGAAAGACTGGCTAGGAAAGCCATTATAAAATGTGGTCCAAGTTTCTCTAACTGAAAAAACGACTTGGATCGACTTTCTACATTGCTATTCCTAATGAATATTAGCAGCAACTTATATTTTGTGCATTTAGAAACACATTCGGCCATTTTTTTTAAAGCATCTGAGCTGTCAAGAGCTCATTCGAGGAGAAGTCTATTGCAAATTTCTGTTGTGCAAGTTTTACAGCTCTTACTGTAAAGAAGCCTTTCCATATATGAAAGGTGAACCTCTTTCCTTGCAGTTAAACCTCTTTTCTTACATGTGTCACTAGCTATGGAAGTCTGACATGTATCTTTTATCACAGTATAAAATGTTGTGCATGTTTTAGAGCTCTTACTGTAAAGAAGCCTTTCCATATGTGGAAGATAAATCTCTTTTCTGTTGTGCATGTTTTACAGCTCTTACTGTAAGGAAGTCTTTCCATATGTGGAATGTAAACCTCTTTTCTGTTGTGCATGTTTTATAGCTCTTACTGTAAGGAAGTCTTGCCATATGTGGAAGGTCGGGATAGGTGCCGGGCCAGGATGAAGGATGCCGGGTCGGATGAAGGATGTCGGGTCGGGATGATGCCGGGCCGGGATGAAGATGCCGGGCCAGGATGAAGGATGCCGGGTCGTGATGAAGGATGTCGGGTCGGGATGAAGAATGCCGGGCCGGGATAGCAAAGCAGCTGCATCCAAGCCTTCCATCACCAAGTGCAATGCAAAGCGTTGGATGCCGTGGTGTAAAGCATGCCGCCACTAGACTCTAGAGCAGTGGTTCTCAACCTTTCTAACGCCGCGACCCCTTAATACAGTTCCTCATGTTGTGGTGACCCCCAACCATAAAATTATTTTCGTTGCTACTTCATAACTGTAATTTTGCAGTAGGAGGAATAGTGCCACGTCATTGGTATCAGTGGGAGGAATAGTGCCCCGTCATTGGTGTCAGTGGGAGGAATAGTGCCCCGTCATTGGTGTCAGTGGGAGGAATAGTGCCCGTCATTGGTGTCAGTGGGAGGAATAGTGCCCCGTCATTGGTGTCAGTGGGAGGAGTGCCCCGTCATTGGTAGGAATAGTGCCCCGTCATTGGTGTCAGTGGGAGGAATAGTGCCCCGTCATTGGTGTCAGTGGGAGGAATAGTGCCCCGTCATTGGTGTCAGTGGGAGGAATAGTGCCCCATCATTAGTATCAGTGGGAGGAATAGTGCCCCATCATTGGTGTCAGTGGGAGGAATAGTGCCCCGTCATTGGTGTCAGTGGAGGAATAGTGCCCCGTCATTGGTGTCAGTGGGAGGAATAGTGTCCCATCATTGGTATTGGAATAGTGCCCCATCAGTCAGGGAGGAATAGTGCCCCATCATTGGTGTCAGTGGGAGGAATAGTGCCCCATCATTGGTGTCAGTGGGAGGAATAGTGCCCCATCATTGGTGTCAGTGGGAGGAATAGTGCCCCATCATTGGTATCAGGGGGGGGAATAGTGTCCCATCATTGGTGTCAGTGGGAGGAATAGTGCCCCCCATCATTGGTATAAGTGGGAGGAGGAATAGTGCCCCATCCTTGGTGTCAGTGGGGGGAGGAATACTGCCCCATCCTTGGTGTCAGTGGGGGGGAGGAATAGTGCCCCATCCTTGGTGTCAGTGGGGGGAGGAATAGTGCCCCATCCTTGGTGTCAGTGGGGGGAGGAATAGTGCCCCATCCTTGGTGTCAGTGGGGGGAGGAATAGTGCCCCTATCCTTGGTGTCAGTGGGGGGGGAGGAATACTGCCCCATCCTTGGTGTCAGTGGGGGGAGGAATTGTGCCCCATCCTTGGTGTCAGTGGGGGGAGGAATCGTGCCCCATCCTTGGTGTCAGTGGGGGGAGGAATCGTGCCCCATCCTTGGTGTCATTTGGGGGAGGAATCGTGCCTCATCGTTGGTGTCAGTGGGGGGAATAGTGTCCCATCGTTGGTGTCAGTGGGAGGAATAGTGCCCCATCGTTGGTGTCAGTGGGAGGAATAGTGTCCCATCGTTGGTGTCAGTGGGAGGAATAGTGCCCCATCATTGGTGTCAGTGGGAGGAATAGTGTCCCATCGTTGGTGTCAGTGGGAGGAATAGTGCCCCATCATTGGTGTCAGTGGGAGGAATAGTGTCCCATCATTGGTATCAGTGGGAGGAATAGTGCCCCATCATTGGTATCAGTGGGAGGAATAGTGCCCCATCATTGGTATTAGTGACACCAATGATGGGGCACTATTCCCACTGACACCAATGATACTTACCTTGCAGACCCCTGCTCCAGCCTGGGCTCGCTCGCTCCCTCCCTCTCCCATGGTACCAACACTTACCTGTCAGATGTCTTCCTTCTCCGGCCGCTCTCCTCCTCTTCACTCGCTCGATCTTCGCGGTGCCGCTCGGCTCCTCCTCTCCAAGCTCCACCTCTTTGCCGGTGATTGGCCGCCTGTGTGCCTCTCCTGAGCTACAGTGCCGGCGGCCAATCACAGCCGAGGATTGATCTCGAGGTGTGTCCAGATGACAGGGGCGGCATGTCATCCCGCCCACACCTGGAGACGGCGGTGGCGGCGGCGGCGGTGAGGAGCGGTGTCTCGGTTCCTAAGACCATCGGAAATATGTGTTTTCCGATGGTCTTAGGCGACCCCTGTGGAAGCGTCGTTCGACCCCCCAAAGGGGTCGCGACCCCCAGGTTGAGAACCGCTGCTCTACATTAAGATACCCTTTCAGCCAAGGTTCATATGTAAGCGTCTCGGGAACACGCACAATTTATCACACATTCCCGACACGCATAGATGTGAACGTAGCCTTAAAGGATATCTCTATGAAGAGACGCACGAGGGCGCAATCAAAGTGTAGCAATTAGTGAACAAGAAAATTAGCCTCTCACATGTGGTAGAATATGAGAAGGAGGCGTTACCGCCTGGAAATGCGTAGCCATGCCCCCTCTACACCTCCCTGCCATTTAGAAGACACACGCCAGCGCCATTTATTGTTAATAGCTCCCCCATCATCTGCAGATGCGCTCATTTTTGCACTCAGAGCTGCACGGTGCAGCGTGTTTTTTAGGAAGGGATTAACAGACTTCTTTTCCACGTTTCCCATGTGTAGGGCAGCCCATTAAAACGAATGGGTGGCCCCGCACGTGACGTGTGGGAATGCACGAAAAACGTGCGGAAATGCACCCGAATGCACACGTGTGTTACTGCAACATGTGGGTGTGAACACGGCTCTGGACGCAGCTACACTTAGTACAAAGCAGCGTTGTTACATGAGAGTCTCCGCCACCTGTTGGGTTGGGAGGAAATGAGCTAGATGAGGAAACAAAGGACACAGATGTCGGGAGTTTGCCGGGTGATGTTCTCCACGCTAATGGCGCAATCTAGAAATGACACATAAAGGCGGTATTAGCATGGGCGGCCGAGAGCTTTTCCTTGAAATTCTAATAACACCATTAGTATCTGTTCTTGTATCCAGGCTGAAAACACGCAAAGCCTGCGGAGGACAACATATTAACCTTCTGTGTGCGTCCATCCAACGGAAAACATCACGCTTAACCCTTTCACTGCAAGAACCAGGCATGCATTTTGTGCACGCGTACATACACACCTACTCATACACACATACATACACATACACACACTTGTACACATACATGCATATTGTATACTCATACACATATACATACATACAAATATACATACACACAAACAAATACATGCACACACACTCATACACATGCATACATACACATACACACATACACTCATACACATGCATACATACACATACACAGATACATACACACAAATATACATACATACACTTATACATTCACTTATACAAATACAGATATACACCCATACACATACATTCAGTACATACTGTGCACTCATACACATACATACATACACATATATAAACATACATATTCATACATACACATACAGTACATAAATATACACACACATGCATACATTCATACACATACATGCACACTCATACATACATACTGTATACATACACTCATACATATATATATATACATACATACATGCATACAGTACATACAGTACATACAAGCATACATACATACATGCATAAACACATACACTCATTCATATACATACATAAACACATACATAAAAATACAGTACACACACATACATACTTACATATACATGCACATATATACATACATACATACACATACACTCATACATACGAGCACACATGTGTGCAAGCCTGAAGGGGAGGTGCTGGTATAACTGTGCCAGACTGAAGGGGAGGAGCCTGTACACCTGCGCAAGTCTGAAGGGGAGGAGCCGGTACAACTGTGCCAGACTGAAGGGGAGGAACAGGTAAACCTGTGCAAGACTGAAGGGGAGGAGCCGCTACACCTGTGCAAGACTAAGGGGAGGAGCCACACCTGTGCAAGACTGAAGGGGAGGGGCCACACCTGTGCAAGACTGAAGGGGAGGAGCTGGTACACCTGTGCAAGACTGAAGGGGAGGAGCTGGTACACCTGTGCAAGACAGAAGGGGAGGAGCCGGTACACCTGTGCAAAACTGAAGGGGGGAGGGTACACCTGTTCCAGACAAAGGGGAGGAGCCAGTACACCTGTGCAAGACAGAAGGGGAGGAGCTGGTACACCTGTGCAAGACTGAAGGGGAGGAGCCAATACACCTGTGAAAGACTGAAGGGGAGGAGCTGGTACACCTGCACAAGGCAGAAGGGGAGGAGCTGGTACACCTGTGCAAGACTGAAGGGAAGAGCCGGGACACCTGTGCAAGACTGAAGGGGAGGAGCTGGTACACCTGTGCAAGACTGAAGGGGAGGAGCCGGTACACCTGTGCAAGACTGAAGGGGAGGAGACAGTACACCTGTGCAAGACTGAAGGGGAGGAGCTGGTACACCTGCACAAGGCAGAAGGGGAGGGGCCGGTACACCTGTGCAAGACAGAAGGGGAGGAGCCTGTACACCTGTGCAAGACTGAAGGGGAGGAGCTGGTACACCTGTGCAAGACAGAAGGGGAGGAGCCTGTACACCTGTGCAAGAAAGAAGGGGAGGAGCCAGTACACCTGTGCAAGACTGAAGGGGAGGAGCTGGTACACCTATGCAAGACTAAAGGGGAGGAGCCAGTACACCTGTGCAAGACTGACGGGGAGCAGCCATTACACCTGTGCAAGACTGAAGGGGAGGAGCCAGTACACCTGTGCAACACAGAAGTGGAGGAGCCAATACACATGTGCAAGACAAAAGGGGAGGAGCCAATACACCTGTGCAAGACTGAAGGGGAGGAGCTGATACACCTGTGCAAGACTCAGTATCGGATATGAAAACAATGACTGCGGAGGATCCTGCACAGCAAAGGTCAGAATCATACATTCATTCTCACTACTGAAGACATGAATACTGCCAGTAAGGTGTATATATATATATGTGTGTACAATGAATACTTATATAACTATATTTATACACTTTATGTAATAATCATTTATTGATGTGTTAACAGATGCATGAATTTGTATCTTTTATCCTTTCCTGAAACTCAGCTGGAAGCCAATGGATCGGTCCAGGATATTCGTTCTGCGATACGCTGCGTCTGGATTGGGTACAGAACTCATCTCCCCCCCAGGTCAGTCCTCAAAGCAATATACATTTCCCTTCCATCTTCAAATTCAAATGGCACGCTATTTAATATATGAAATTTTACACCTTCCCGGTGGTTTCTTTGCAGATAGCCCATCGATTTAACTCCGCGGTGATCCCCCCCGGGGTAAGTGGCCGTCGTTTTTATATTAAATTGTAAAGCTCGGATAATATTGCAAACGCGGATGATAGTTTTTTTATTGGAAGGCATTAGTCGTGTTGTCGGCTAACAATGCGATTTTGGCTCCTTCCCGCACATTTAACATTCCTATTTCACAAAAGACGCAAAAGAGAGAGAGAGAGTGCGGCCCCCGAACACCGGCCTCGGCTTGGAGGAGTGTTTATTGCGCCGGCGGTGGGAGGAACAGGGGACGCGTTTTACGGAAAATGTTATTCTATTTGCTACACACAACACGGCTTGATTTGACTACATGATCTATCGAAATCTGGTTTTCGAACAAAAAAAAAAAGTGGATTTTATTTACAGGGCTGCAGAAGAAAACAATGGAAGTTTGCTCATTGTTAACTACTTCATATCCCACACCTGTACACCCTCCATGGGCCAGAGACATATCTGATGTTTCCACTCTGGGGCCTGTTTATTCAGCAATATGGTTTTATTTATTTATGATAAAAGCGTTATTAAATATTAAAACAAAAAGTGTCCATATTGCAGCTTACCGATAATTAGATGTGGCGGCTGCATTAGTTTTCTTTTTTTTAAGGCTTTTTTCCCCTCTGTTTTCACTTGGCGATCTGACCAGTATTAGAGCGCCCCCACACACAATTGCCACCTTTGGAGTTCCACATTCCACAAATACCACAATAGCTCCCCTACTACACAAATACCACCAATGGAGCTCCCCATCCTACCTACACAAATACCACCAATGGAGCTCCCCATCCTACATACCTACACAAATACCACCAATACCACCAATGGAGCTCCCCATCCTACCTACACAAATACCACAACCGATGGAGCTCCCCATCCTACCTACACAAAAATACAACGGAGCTCCCCATCCTACCTACACAAATACCACCAATGGAGCTCCCCATCCTACCTACCTAAATACCACAGATGGAGCTCCCCATCCTACCTACACAAATACCACCAATGGAGCTCCCCATCCTACCTACACAAATACCACCAATGGAGCTCCCCATCCTACCTACCTAAATACCACAGATGGAGCTCCCCATCCTACCTACACAAATACCACCAACGGAGCTCCCCATCCTACAAACACACATACCACCAACTGAGCTCCGCATACTACTACACAACTACCACCAACTGAGCTCCGCATACTACCTACTCAAATGCCACCAACGGAGCTCCCCATCCTACATACACAAATGCCACCAACGGAGCTCCCCATCCTACCTACACAACTACCACCAACTGAGCTCCCGCATACTACCTACAAAAATGCCACCAATGGAGCTCCCCATCCTACTTACACAAATGCCACCAACGGAGCTCCCCAATCCTACATACACAAATACCACCAACGGAGCTCCCCATCCTACATATACAAATGCCACCAACGGAGCTCCCCATCCTACATATACAAATACCACCAACGGAGCTCCCCATCCTACCTACACAAATACCACCGATGGAGCTCCCCATCCTACCTACACAAATGCCACCAACGGAGCTCCCCATCCTACCTACACAAATACCACCAATGGAGCTCCCCATCCTACCTACCTAAATACCACAGATGGAGCTCCCCATCCTACCTACACTACCACAAATATCCTACCTACCAACGGAGCTCCCCATCCTACAAACACAAATGCCACCAACGGAGCTCCCCATCCTACCTACACAAATTCCACCAACAGAACTCCCCATACTACCTACACAAATACCACCAATGGAGCTCCCCATCCTACCTACACAAATTCCACCAACAGAACTCTCCATCCTACCTACACAAATACCACCAATGGAGCTCCCCATCCTACCTACACAAATGCCACCAATGGAGCTCCCCATCCTACCTACACAAATACCACCAATGGAGCTCCATCCATACACTACCACAATGGAGCTCCCCACAAACCTACACAAATACCACCAACAGAGCTCTGTAAGCTGCCAATACAAAAACCTCCTTTGGAGCATCCCATACGAGTTACACAAATACAACCCCTAGACACCTCTACATAAATACCACCCCTTGAGATCCCCATGGTACCAATACAAATACCACCCATGGAGCTTCCCATATTACCTACACAAATACCACCCCTTGAGCCCCTACTTAAACAAATACCATCTCTAAAGCTCCCTGTAATAGTCACACAAATACTATCATCGGAGCTCCCAATCTACCTACAGTATACAAATGTTGTCCTTGGATCATTCCACACTGGTTACAGAAATACAGCCCCTTGAGCTCCCCATTCTACTTAAACAAATACCCTCCCCGAAAGCTTCCCCTACCCCCCATATGCCACCAACAGAGCTCTCTATACAAATTCTGGCCTTGAAGCATCCTTTTCTACCATCTACATAACTACCACTCCTTGAGATGCCCATGCTACCGATACAAATACCACTCATGAAGCTTCCCATATTACCTACGCAAATACCACCACCCCTTGAGATCCCATACTACATAAACAAATACCACCAACGAAGCTCAGCATCTACCTATAGTATACATATATTGCATCCTGTACTGCTTACACAAATACCACCCCTGAAGCTCCCCATACCAACTACTGAAATACCACCAATAGAGCTCCCTATACTACCTACATAAATGCCACCCCTTGAGATCCCCATGCTACAGATACAAATACCACCCATGGAGCTTCTCATATTACCTACACAAATACCACCCTTGAGATCCCATACTACATAAACAAATACCCCCAGCATCTACCTATAGTATATAATATTGCATCCTGTACTGCTTACACAAATACCAACCCTGAAGCTCCCCATACCAAACACTGAAATACCACCAATACCATACTACCTACATAAATGCCACCCCTTGAGATCCCCATGCTACAATACAAATATGGAGCTTCTCATATTACCTACACAAATACCATCCTTAAAGCTCCCCATACTACATACCATATACAAATATTGTCCTTACTGTATACACAAATACAATCCCTTGAGCTCCCCATAGTACCTACACAAGTACTAACCCTGAAGCTCCCCATAGTGGCTACCTAAATACCACAAACGGAGCTCCCTAAACTACCTATACAAATACCATCCTTGGAGCATCCCATACTGCATACACAAATACAACACCTGAAGCCCCCTATACTACCTATGTAAATACCACCTCTTGAGCTCCCCATACTATCTACACAAGTGCCATCCATGAAGCTCCCCATACTAACTACTGAAATACCACCAACTGAGCTCTATTCAACTACCTATTCAAATGCCACCCTTGGATTATCCCCTTCTACGTAAACAGATATAACCCCTGGGGCCCTCTATGCCACCTACGTAAATAACACCTCTGGAGCTCCTTATACTACTGTTACAAATACCACCCCATAAGATCTCTATGCTACTGATACAAATAGCACCCATGAAGCTTCCCATATTGCCTACACAAATACCACCATGGAGCTTCCCATATTACCTAAATACAGTAAATGCCATCCTTGACGCTCCCCATACTACAGTATACAAATTTTGCCCTTGCAGCATCCCATACTGTCCTTGAGCTCCCCATACTACCTAAACAAATATCATCCCTGAAGCTCCCCATAGTAGCTAGCTAAATACCAAAAATGGAGCTCCCTGAACTACCTATACAAATACCACCCTTGGAGCATCTCATATTGCTTACACAAATACAACACCTGGAGCCCCCTATACTACCTACATAAATACCACCCCTTGAGATCCCCATGCTATCAATACAAAAACCAGCCATAGAGCTTCCCATATTAAGTATACAAATACCAAGCCTGAAGCTCCCCATACTAGCTTCTAAAAAATCACCAACAGAGCTCACTAAACTACCTCTACAAATACCATCCCTGAAGCTCCCCATAGTAGCTACCTAAATACCAAACACGGAGCTCCCTAAACCACCTATACAAATACCACCCTTGGAGCATCTCATACTGCTTACACATATACAACACCTGGAGCCCCCTATACTACCTACATAAATAACACCTCTGGAGCTCCCTATACTACCTACATAAATACCACCCCTTGAGATCCCCATGCTATCAATACAAAAAACCAGCCATAGAGCTTCCCATATTAAGTATACAAATACCATGCCTGAAGCTCCCCATAATAGCTACTCAAATATCACTAACAGAGCTCCCTAAACTACCTACACAAATACCATCCCTGAAGCTCCTCATACTACTTGTATAAAAACCCTTGAGCTTCCCATATTACCTACAAAATACAAGCCCTGGAGCCCTCTATGCTACCTACATAAATACCACCTCTAGAGCTCGCTATACTACCTACACACCAATGGACATCCCCATACTGCCTTTGCAGATACCACCCCTATTAAGAGGCCGCCTATATATGACACAGCCCCAGCTTTCAGAAAAGCCTCCTACCTCTACGTCATAAAACTTAAGGTCTTCGCCCAAGTCCATCCAGTATTTCCTG